CTATAAGAGAACGCTCATTCTTTCCCAAGCTGCGTACTATTTCCTCAAATGGATATGTCATAATTCAGTTAGCCAGTCACTATGGATATTTGGGTTGTTTTTCATCTTTTACTATTCAGAGTGCTGCCACGAATGCACTTTATACTCATCATTTCACACATATACCAGTGCATTTGTAGAATAAGCTTCATAAGTAGAATTGTTAGAAAAAGGTAGATTCCTTTCCCTCCCCACGAGTATAACAATGAATGTTCCCACCATCACGGTGTCAGAGTGCCTGGCTTATGTGGTCAGAATTTTGGATTGTTGCTAATCTGGTAGCTGCAAATGTGCCTTTGTGTAGTTTTACCTTGCATTTCTTTTACCATGAGTTAAGGGTGAACTTCCTAAAAAGAAGGGGACCCTGAAATAGGATGTGGAAGAAATCAAAGATGAACTTCTGTGATTCACAAGCTTATCCTGAGCTAGCCCTGAACTCAAGTACTTGCACTGAATGCCTCTTCGATTTCCACTTCAAGCAAAAGTTTTCACTAACATTGAAAAAATAAAAGGTATTGGGACACACATACACACAGCACTATTGTCCGCCTTCCAACCACGCCCTGATGTCCAGCTCCAGTTCAACTTTGACTCTTACTACACCTTCATGGCTGTTATGTTGTTTATTTTTCCTCGTCTGTGGGTTTACACTTCTAGCATCAAGATCAGACACCAGTCTTTGCTTTAGAGTAGTGGTTCTCAACCTTCCTAATGCCGCGACCCTTTAATACAGTTCCTCATGTTGTGGTGACCCTCAATTGCATTGTTACAAATTGAACATAATTAAAGCATAGTGATTAATCACAAAACAATATGTAATTATATATGTGTTTTCCAATGGTCTTAGGCGACCTCTATGAAAGGGTCGTTCGACCCCCAAAGGGGTCGCGACCCACAGGTTGAGAACTGCTGCTTTAGAGCTTGGTCCTCCGAAGGCAAGCATGAGAGGGGCTTTCTTCTGGGGAACAAGCACCCTAGTAGAAGTCTTATTCCTCCTAGAATAGTTAATTTCATGTCTTTTGAGATAACTCTTGGGCTTTATGTTTATTTTTTGTTTTTTTATTCCCTAGGGTCCATGTTTGGGTGCATGCCTGCTGGGAGAGGGTCTGGCTGGGAGCAGCTGATCTGTGGAAGGACCTTCCAGTGTTGGCACTTTTCAGTGCCTCCTGCCCTCCTTCCTACCCTGCAGCTCAGTGACATCAAGCTCACAGCCTCTCCAGAGTTCTGTCTCCTCCATTTCAGCCCTGAGCCTCAGTACAGGTCAATATGTGCTCCACCCACAACCCATTGCCCAGAAATTTGCTGACATTTCTGGTGCACTTATCTCCCTTATGTTCTCTTGGCTCATGGGTTAACTATATTCCTGTTCTTTATTACTTACTTAATAAGCTCTCAGAAGAGGTGACAAAAGTGTCAATACGGTCTGCCACCTTGAACTAAATGATAAATGACTTTAATGTTTTTATACAAAACAAAGGTAGTAGAACTAATTCTGTTTCTACTTTGGACCTGTTATTATTACTACATGTTCATCCAAGTCAGAATGATCGTCGCCATTGTTGATTTTGATTAACCTTTGATATGCCTTTACATTGGACCCATTCTGTTAATTACACACACTGAGCATTTCCAGGAGCCTTGCATTGAGCCAAGTGCTAAATAGGATATAGATGGATGACACATATGGATCATGACAGTATCAAAAATAAACTTCCATACTATAGTAATTAATAATAACCATGGTCCCATTTTAGTTGCCCTTTATTTATTTTTATGCCTTTTTATTGATTTCAGAGAGGAAAGGAGGGGGAGACATAGAAACATTAATGATGAGAACCGATTGGCTGCCTCCCCCACTGGGGATTGAGCCAGCAACCTGGGCATGCACCCTGACCAGGAGTTGAACCCTGACCTCCTGGTTCATGGGTCAGTGCTCAACCACTGAGCCACACTGCCTGAGCCTTATTTGCTTTTTATATTTGTATTTTATCTTGACCTAAATAGATCTGGATCCTTTAAGTCAGGTATTGTGTCTTGTAACTTTCTCTATGCCCAAGTGTGGTTCTTAGAATCAGTGGCTATTCAGTAAGCATAGCTGATACTTGACCAGTGGTCAGGGTGAGTGTATTAGTAGGTGCCAAGGAAAATTGGTCGAGTATAATACCAAACTAAAAGAATTTCCAAAAAGAACCAGAAAAAGAAAGAAAAGGCAATTTTATTTTTAATGAAGTTGAATGTTTTATTATTAGACTGTTTCTTATTTTCCTGCAAGACAATTGCTCCACTGTATAAAAATAGCACCAGCAAAAGCAGCATATTGCAAAATTAAGGTAGTACTGTTAATTATACAACACTGTACAACTAATAAAAACGTGTCCTCACTGCCAGTTATTTCCAATGGAAAGACCATTGAGTATTATGAGCCAAATCTAGAGATGGATGTAAGCAAGTTACATTATATAAGTTTTATGACAATGTTATCTTTGAATTACATAAGTTTTATAACTACTTGTTACCACAGATAATTTCAGAAATTCCGAATAACTGTAGCCTAGCCTAAACATTAGAGGGTGTTGTAAAAAGATGCATATTGTTCATCTGCAATCATTTGTAGCATTGTTGTAAGTAGTTTCTTTTTTCAGTGGTCTGACTAAAAGCTGCTATTTTAAATCTTTTGTCCACCACTAATTTAAGACAATTATGTTACATCAAGTCGTTTCATACTACTGTACTTAGGGGTTTCCATTTTCACTCTTCAGTAGATTTCATGCATTTCCCATATACTTCTTCACTCATTGGTTCACCTAGTTCTGAAAGGTTACTCAATGTCATCTTGATCACCAACCATCTTCATAACAAGATTTATTGACAAGTCCTGGATTTTCTGCATGAGCTTCATTAAGTCCAATTACTTTTCCTGATAGAGGAGACTAGAGTTCACTAGCAGCTTTCACACTTCCCAAAGTACCAAACTCACCTTTGTTCAATTTTGTCCCAATGTCAGGAGACTACAACATCTCCCAAAGCTTCCTCTGCAAAATTGATGATCCCGCTGTTCCAATACCATTTTCTGTTGTTACCCATTTATGTTTCTCTGTGAACTTATGCAGGGAGAGTAGGTTGGGGCCAGTGCGCATTGACCCCATGGCACCCCCTCAGGCTCCAGGGCCATGGCCATGTTCACAGTAGCAATTATTTTTTAAAAATACAAAAGCATATCTCAGAACTGAAAGATCTGGATGATCAGGTTAAAAGTGTCAAGAAGGACCTGTACAGCAAATAAAAAATAAAAAAACCCACACCAACACTCATTATCATGAAATTTCAGTTAACCAAAAGTAACAAAAGTATCCTAAAATCTCCAAAAAAGAAAGAGTAGGCCATGTTCATAGGATCAGAAATCAAAATGGCTTCTGGCTTCTCGCTAGTAATGCTGGAGGCTAGAAGACAATGGAGCAGTAACTTCAAATTTTTGAATGAAAATTATTTTCAATTTAGACTTCTATTCTCAGCTAAACTATCATTTAACTATGAGAATAGAATTAAGACATTTTCAAATATGCATGGGCCTCAAAATTGTATCTTCCATCCATCTTTCCTTAGGGAACTAGTGTGGCATGTGCTCCACCAAACTAGGGAATATAGCCCTGCCCAGTGTGGCTCAGTTGGTTGAGCATCATCAGGTTGCCGGTTTGATTCCCGGGTCTGCAGGAGGCAGCTGATCAATGTTTCTCTCCCTCTCCCTTCTTCTCTCTCTAAAATCAATAAAAAAATATTTTAAAAAAACTAGGGAATGTACCAAGAAGGAAAAAAGGTATGGAATCCCAGAGAAAGGAGAGGAAAGAAGGTCCAACGATGATGGTGAAGAGAAACAGCATGGCAGCAGAGCAGCAGGATTAGAGAGCAATCTGTCCACATTTGAGGAGAAATGGAAAGTTCCAGAAGGACTTTCTTTAAGGAAAATATGAATTACTATAAACAAAAGGACTCTTATGGTTGGGCAGTATTTGAGGATAAACTATTGTTAGTTATAAAGGAAATTAAGCAATGGGATGAGACAATTATCAACTCCAGGAGAAACAAACTGTTGTCTAAAAAAGGAAATGGAATTATAGTATACCAAATAGCCTACCTGTGAGCAGTCATAAAAGCAGCGATTCTGGATAGTCAGTTAACCAGAGACTGATAAAAACTTGTGCTTCAACAAATGGTGCTGAGACCATTTCCACATGCAAAACTAAAATAAAATTCAACCCTGGTTACCTTATACCATGCACAAAAATCAATGAGACATGGAACGCTCGCCTAAATGTAAGAGCTAAAAATATAAAGCTGCTAGAAGAAAACATAGGAGAAAATCTTTGTGGCCATGGATTAAATAGGGTACAATAACTGGGAAACAAGATTTTCAAAACATGATCTGATTATAGGCTTTCATCTAGAAGATAAATTTATATTTACCCAATTATCCAACCCTTCCCCTTACCTTTTTTCTGCCTCTGGAAACCACAAATCTGACCTCTGTTTCTAGAATTTGTTTTTTTCTTTTTTAAGTTTCCACATCTAGTGAAATTATATAGTATTCGTCTTTCTCTGTCTGACCTATTTCACTTAGCATAATGCCCTTACAGTCCATCTATATTGTAGCAAATGGCTGGATTTCCTTCTATTTTATGGCTAAATAGTGTTCCATTATTTATATTTGTACCACAACTTCTTTATCCATTCATCCATCAGTGGACATTAAGTAGTTTCCACGTGTTGCCTGTTGTCAAGAATGGTGCAATGAACACGGGGTGCTGATATCCCTTCAAGACGGTGATTCTGTTTCCTTTGGACATACGCATATCCAGAAGTGGATTGCTGGACCATGTGGCAGTTTTAATTTTTTGAGGAACCTCCATACTGTTTCTCCATAGTGACTGCACCAAATCACATATGTATGAACCGTGCACAAGGGTTCAGATTGGGTTCATCTTAAAAGACAGGTTGAGAAGCATTTCGTTGTTGTAGTGATCCAGACCCATGTACCTCATTTCTTCATCAAAATTCCATTTGCTGCTCTTGCCTGGCAGCGAATACTGATGGTGAGGATAAGAGGTATAGCTAAAGAGGAAGGGGTCTTCCTGAGGCGAATGGCACGTGGTGGGAGGGTAGTAGCTGTTAAACTCCATATGCACCTTCTCTTCATAGAGATCCGGCCCTGGACTTGGCCATAACGGGAGACAGCCAGTTTTGGCTGAAGGTGGTTCCACTGGAATCTGCTGAGAAAGGGGATCTAAAGCGTTCTGGGGAGGGGAGAAGTCATAAGACCAGCCGGCCTGGGGGAAGGGGTAACTGGGACACCCGTTGTCGTTAAGAGGATTTCTCCCCAAAGCAGCGCTTTTATTCCATATTTGCAGATCACTGTAATCAGAGACAGGAGGCTGAAGCAGGTCCCCAGCACCATAGATCCGCGCGTTGGACACTTTGCATTTCTCATAGAGCTCAGAGGGGCCCACGGTAGAAGTGGGGTCTGCCAGATCAGCGGCTCCCCCCAAACCATAGCTCTTAAATAAGAATTCATTCGGTGACTTCTGATGGGGGATGCCAGCTGTCAAAGGTCCACCGTCACCACCAGGCAGGTGGATGCTTTCCTGGAAAGACCAGTTGAAAGGTAAATTTCCCCAACTTGTTGCTTCACCAGGAACAGACTGGAAAGGAAAGCGAAAAGCCCGTGTAAGTAAGTTAAGCAGATGGACACAACTACCCCAGGCGCCCATGAGTTACTCTGTACAAATAGGTGCTCTGTCCGAGTTTCCTCATTCCTGGCATGCTCAGAGCGCAGACGCACGGAGCAGCATCACCACAGCCTCTCAAGGTCTGAAAGAGGAGACGCTGATTCCATCTCCATTTTAGATCTTACTAACCAGTAAGTGCCAAATTTCCCTTCACTCTGACATGAGTGTTTAAACCAGTGGTTCTCAACCTTCCTAATGCCGCGACCCTTTAATACAGTTCCTCATGTTGTAGTGACCCCCAATTTCATAGTTACAAATTGAACATCATTAAAGCATAGTGATTAATCACAAAAACAATATGTAATTATATATGTGTTTTCCGATGGTTTTAGGCGACCCCTGTGAAAGGGTCGTTCAACCCCCAAAGGGGTCGCTACCCACAGGTTGAGAACCGCTAGTAAACATTTCCCCTCAGACGCCAATCTCATATCCTAAATGCTTTTGTGAGAAACTTCTAAGGGCTACTTAAGAAAAGTCAAATTACAGCATCACACGCCGAAACCAGTTTGGCTCAGTGGATAGAGCGTCGGCCTGCAGACTGAAAGGTCCCAGGTTCGATTCCGGTCAAGGGCATGTATCTGGGTTGCGGGCACATCCCCAGTAGGAGATGTGCAGGAGGCAGCTGATCGATGTTTCTAACTCTCTATCTCTCTCCCTTCCTGTCTGGAAAAAAAAAAAAAATCAATAAAAATATATTAAAAAAAAATTACAGCATCACAGATTTGTCTTATACTCAGTACAACTCTCGGGGGGGTCCCCCTTTCTCTTGCTTCCCTCCTTGACTTTTCTATTTTTCAGTGCTGTGTGACGTCCAAGGGACTAGGGTTGTTGTATTTTTTTCCTCAAGAGATTTTTCTCTGAACTTATTTTGTTGAATCATAAATAGGACTTCTAGACTATGAAATGGTAAATGTATTATTGTTATTTAATATATTTTTATTGATTTTGGAGAGGAAGGGAGAGAGAGATAGAAACACCAATGATGAGAGAGAAGCATTGATTGGCTACCTCCTGCACGCCCCATGCTGGGGATTAAGCCCACAACCCAGGCAAGTGCCCTGAGAGGGAATCAAACCGTGACCTCCTGGTTCATAGGTCAACACTCAACCACTGAGCTACACCGGCCAGGCGGTAAATTTATTTTTGTAAAAAGAAAGTATATTTTCCTCCAGCGAATCCTAGGAAAATAATCTGGTTGAGGATTAAATAATCCTCTTGTCTATGCAAAACTATTGACTAATAAGAGGATGGGGTGGAGAGACTGTCACCAGGCAAGAGTGAGTGGGAAGAAATGCCCTTCAACTTGTCCCATGGCTGGGAGAAGGGATGAGGGGCCAGTTATTTGGACCTGGGGCTTACATTTCCTGATAAGAGACACAAGTCATATATATATATAGTTAAAGTACATTTAGAGCTTCCAGGGATGGACTGACTCCATTTCAGTCCTCCTGAAAAAAACTTGAAGCATCCCTGGCCAGTGTTGCTTAGTGGTTGGAGCATTGTCCCATACACCAAAGGGGAGTGGGTTCAATTCCCAGTCAAGGGCACGTACCTGGGTTGGGGGTTTCAATCCCCAGCCCTGGTTGGGATATGTATGGAAGGCAACCAATCTATGACACATCAGTGTTTCTCTCTATCTTTCTCTCCCCTTCCCTACCACCCCTCCACTCTCTCTAAAAATCAATAAAAAAAAAAATCCTCTGGTGAGGATTAACAAGAAACAAGTAACACTTAAAAGAAATGTGGAGCATTGAACTGCACTGGTCCACTTTTATGCGGATCGTTCTCAATAAATACCTATACTATTTGGATCCAAAGTTGGGAGTCTGTGGATGCAGAGGGCTGTCTGTCTGCATTGATCTTCACCATTCTCTGTAGGGGATTTGAGGTTTTTGGTATCCATAGGGTATCCTGGAACCAATCCTTTGTGGATACTGAGGTACAACTTAAGTTTGGGGGGCAGTGAAAAATTATATACAGATTTATTACTATTCGGGGGGTCAGTGCCCCTAACCCTTGCATCGTGGAAGGGTTAACTGTAATCTGTTTTAGGGAAGAATGAACATGTGGGCAGAAAGCATGAGGCTAATATTTGTGGAGATCATTTCAGTTAATTCTGGTTCTCTGAGAACCAAATTACAGAGTGCCAAAATATAAGTTAAGTACTAATTCCAGTTTCTTTTTCATTGTGGTAGGGAAGATGATTCTAAAATTACATAGAATTTATGTTGAGAGCACGCGATAAAGATGGTAGAAATTAAGGGGAATCCCTCAGGCTCAGTTTGTGTGGCAGATGCTGGCTTACAGGTGAGCCTGGCGGGATCTGACTTCTGCTTTCACTTGTAGGTAAGGGGCTGGAGAAATCTACTGCCCCACCACAGGGGTGGCGAGTTGCCGTCTGGTTCTGAACACACATGGGGAAAGGTTACCTTTGCCTCTGGGCCCCTGTTCAGCTTCAAGGAGACGGAGGAAGAGGCCCCCTGCACTTTCTTTACTGTTCTTCTTGCCTCGGCTTCCATTTTGGTTTCTGGCTTTGGATGATCGTGTTCTCCCTTTGACTTAAAGGAGACAAGGATGTGAAATAAATGACCAGATGGTACTTCATGGTGTGTAAAATTTTACCCTGTGCCCTGTCATATGATCGTGTGTTGCTACAGTTGGGCGTTGTAACAAGATTGACTACACCCTTTAAGTACCTCCCAAGTCCACCCAGCACTTTCTTGCCTGCCTGTTTTTGTTTACGATGCTCCTCCTTTTCCTGGTGTCTCTCACCCACATGGCAAAGTCCTATTCATCGGGATAGCAAGTAATGCCTATTGCACACGATCTCATTTAACCTCCAGCACAACCCTGTGAGGCACATGCTATCATTATCATTCCCAGTTAGCGGAATGGGAAATTGGGGCATGGAGAGATGGCGGTGCCTGGGTCATTTCCCTGATAAGTGGGTGAGCTGGGAGCTAATTGTTAAAGATTCAGGAATTCTGTGAGCTGGTTGTTAAAAACAGCCGATTGCTTTAAATCAGACAGGATGGGAAGACTTACAGCACAGGAATGGGCCAACCCTGAAAATCAGAACACTTTCCTTTCGGGGGAGCGAGAGGGGCAGGGTTACCAGCACGCCACCGCTGCGAACCCAGGCAGACACTGGCAGAGGCCACTCCTCACCGCTGTGTATGCCACCGCTCCCGCTTTTACTTCCCAATATCCAGGTTTTACAGAACACTGGGGCTTAGGGAGGGCAGTGTTTAGGTTTGCAGAGCAACTCAGAAGTCAGAGCTGGTATTCAGTCTGGAGTTGGAGGCTATGTACAAGGCAGGGCTGCTGGCCTGAGCGCGATCACGTTACTAACCCTACGGAGCCCGCCCGAGGCAGAGGCAGCCAGGCACCCCTGCTGAGGGGTGGGGTACAGGCCCTTGCTCACCCAGAGTGTGCCTCGGGGTCGGTGTCGGCTCTCATTCACCTGCACATCTCCTGTGTGAAACCCCTCCTCACACTCTGTAACCATGTCTTGAATTAAAGAGAAATGGCATCTTATCACTATAACCCAAGTCCAACCTGGAAAAATATGAAGCGTCCTTCATGCCTCCAGAAGTTGGTGACCGGGAAGCCTCCGTGGCCTCGGCAAGGAATGAGCTTCAGGGGCCCATCGCAGTTGGGACAGAGTTTCCCTGCAAAAGAGCAGCAGAAGGTGACCCCGTGCCACCGAGCCATGCCAACTGACCCCTGAGCCCGGGCAGCCCTGGTGGTGTTAACCAGGAAGCCGGGATGGCAGAGACTACACCTGGGCCAGTTTTATGCACTTCCATCAACTGGGCAACCCCTGGCCCTAGGAAGCCTGGCCAGCACACGGCCCAGATCAGTCTCACAGTGGCTAGTGGAAGCGGCCTATAGAACGAGGTGCTTCACAGGTTAGGGGAGAGCTCTCCTGAGCAGAATATCCCTCCCTATGTATTTACTGATAAGTTAAAATTCTTTATAGAAAAGAAGACAAAATTCTTTTACTTCACGATTACAACTAAGAGTCAAGGAGCAAAGCCACATGGGAGAGAGAACGCAGCTGCTAAATTTTTACTCAAGTGTAAATGACCAATATTAGATCCTGCCTTGAGAGCAAGTCTTGAAGACAAGCTACAAGGAAATAACAGGAGGTTACTTGAGGTCTGAAATGGACCAGGCACAGGGAATGCTGAATGCATTTCACAATCCGATGAACATGATAAAAAACAAAAGGAGCACATGTTTCCGCATGTGATTATGGCATGAACCCAAATGTCATGGAATTGAGTCTAATCGCAAATTTAGCCCCGGTGCTCCCACTCCAGATCAAAGCACTCCTTGAGATCATATAGGGATCTTTTCCCCACAAGGTCAGGAAGCAAATCTAATAGACAACGTTCTCCTAAACTTTATATGGGCTCACTGATGAATTACTGTTAGTCCCATAAGTGAGGCATCTCCTTTTTTTTTTTTTTTACATAAAACATCAGTACATATTAGACATTTTAAAAACATTTCTTTACATTTTTTAAAATTTCAGCTTCATTGAGGTATAATTGGCATCTGCCTTTTAACAGAGGCCTTGAGTTAGGTGCCTAAACTCAAGGGAGCAGTTTTAATGGTGGATGCTCTGGTCAAGGCAGACCCATGGGGCAATACCCTGTGGGGGCAAAGGGGGGTGGGTGGGGTCTCCTTAACATGTTCTGCATAGGGACAGCCTTGGTCTCCTCCAGTGTGAAGGCTGAGCCCTTGTGATGTGCTGGGAGGTAGTGGCCCAGCTGAGCGGGAGCGTTTGAATGGACACCAGCTTCCTCTCCAACGACAGCGAGCCCCACTCACTCTGCTGCTTCTGCCGGGCCTTGTCGCAGATCGCAGGCCTCAGGTAGATCTTGCGGCCCTCCTTGGCAGAGCAGTCGCGGCTGCACACCACCACGCCCAGGCAGGACTTCTTGAGGATGCGCGAGTTGTGGTTGTTGGTGTTGCGCATGGCCCAGCTGCTCAGGTGCCTCTGTGCGCTCCTGTCCTCCGAGCTGTAGATGTACTTCTCGTAGGAATCCGGCCATTCTTGGAACCAGTCTATCTTTTTCACATCCTTACAGAAACACAAAGATTACCATTATATTTTAAGCTACAAGGCCTGATCGTCCATCACCGTGGAGTCCATAGACAGGAAGGTGGTTCTGGCGCTCAAGAGCTAGGCCAGGGACCCTTGGCAGAGACCAACCTGGCTCCCACTGTGACGGTGATTTCTGAGAAGGCCATGCAGCAGCAGCTGTGTCTCCTGCACCTTTGCTCCCTGGACCAAAAGGAGCTGTGACTCAGCCCTCTGAGTTCTACCCGATGGCGGCTTCTCCAGCCCTTGGTGATAAGAGTTATGACCACTTCTCACTAAGAATTTTTGAGGATGAAGTAACATTATTGTGTTGACACAATTAATGCGGAAACACCCTTGTGGCAGGATAGTGAGGTCATACCTCATACCACGGTGCAGTTACCGTATTAAGCCTGGTAAGGCTAATACAAAGTCATCGGCGGTGGGAGGACTGGAGAGCCCGGGCACAGGAGGAGTCTGAGAGCCGTTTCCGCCCTTATGGAGGTCTCCTTTTTCTCCACTCCTATATCCATGTGCCTCAAACAGGGAGAGGAGTAAGGAGGAGATTGCTTTGACCGGAAGCTTCTATCTTCTTGCTCAGGATTGGCACTATTCCCTGTGCTGAACCTCTAACTAAACAAAGACACTCCATCGTGAGCATAAGGTATTTGGCTTTCTGTGTATCTGTTTCCTCATCTGTGTACTAGGGATAACAAGACGTGTCTACCTCAAAGGTCGTTCTGAGAATTAAATATGATAATATACAAAAATACTTAGCACAGCCTGGAGTACGTTCCTCAGGCCCCGCTTTAGTCCACAGAAGCCCCATCAGACAGTCCCAGCTGGTTCTTAGCGTGAGAATTATTAAAGAGTCTCAGGAGTCAAACTCGGGCTGTGTCCATCCCCACAGCTCCCAGAGACCCGCCATGGTATAAGAAGAGTCTGGAAGATCAGACTAGAAGATTCCAGAAGGTCCAGAAGGAGTGATCAGGGGACTGGTGTTCATTGAGTTAGATTTCAAGTTTAGAACATGACAAAGAACTGTGTAACAGGAGACTCTGAGCAAGGGGTTTTGTCTCCGAAGCCTCACTTTGCTCTTCTCTGAAACGGGAACATTGATAAAAGCACACTTCAGACAGTACTGTAATGAGCAGATCTGTAAGCTTTAAATAATGAGAGTTGTTCGAGTGGAATGTCACGGGAGCTGAGGTAGGTCTGAGGAAATATGAGAGGTTCTATGTACTTGAGAGGTTAGTGGTTAAGAGCTTGGGCCTGCAAACTCGACGCATGGGCCAAATCCAACCCACTCTCCGCTTTTGTAAATAAAGTTTTATTGGAACACAACCATGTTCCATGCACTTGACTGTTGTCCATGAATACTTTCATGCCACCACGGCAAAGTTAAACAGTTCTGGCAGAGACTGGATGGCCCGAAAAGCCTAAATGTATACTATTTAATTGGCCCTTTACAGGAAGTTAGCCAATTCCTGGCTAAGAGCATGGCCAATGGAGGCAGATGACCTGGGTGTGAGTCTTAACAAGCTCCTCCCCCTCTCAGTGCCTGTTTCCTGCTCTGTAACAAGAGCATCTACTTCACAGGGATGTTCTGAGGATGGAATCATCTGACATGCGCAAAACGTTTATAACTGGCCACAGCAAGTTCCACATCGGCGTTGGCTGTTATCTACTAGACCTGGGGCCACACCGGCTAGCCAATGTGACAGTGGGAGCCCCCAGCTTTCAGGGAGAAAGGGCCCACGGAGGGGCCACTGCATGCCTTAAACCTTGCCAAGCCTAATGCAAGTCCAAGCGCCTACACAACAAAGCTTAATTGTTGCAACTCTGGTTCCACCCCTTTCCTTCTCAGGGCAGTGACAACAGCGGGCCCTTCGAGGAACTCCTGTGGTTTGGGAAGGGGAGGTTGCCCCTGAAGAGAAGGATGAAGGGTACTTCTGAACGGTATAAAATTCAATGTCCCAGAGGGAGAGAAACAGCTCAGGCAGCCTCATCATCTCCTGCTTTCTCCACCCACCTCTCTCCTCTCCCTTCTGGCCTAAGCGCCAAATAAGGCTCTCTTGTTTCCTGTCACAGAAGTGCTACAGAAAGCATAACGTTTTACCTTCTGAAATAATCAAAATGCAGGTTAAAATGTGTACCTTTGTCTAACAGTTTGGACTGTACAAATCTACTGGTGGATCCCAATTACGCAAATACAAAGCACAGTTGTCACGGTAGCAGAGACAGGGGAGAGGGGGACTTAGAGAAGCTGAGATTTTCATGTTTTAAAGTCGAGTGGCCCTTTAGGCTGGTCACTGGCATAAATCCAATGAGCAGGAGGAGGGGAAGGTATTTATGAGAGCGGCTCAGATGTTCTAGTTAAAGACTCCCTGTTCTCAGAGGAAAGAAAATGATCTCCACCCTGTCTGTCTCTCTCTTTCCCATTTTCTCTCAGTTTAGTGTATATTTTGATCTCTCCCGAGGCTTCCTCTTTGACCCATGGCTTATTTAGAAATATATAGTTTAGTTTCCATGTGTTGGAAGATTTTCCTGTTGTCTTTTGCTATTTTCTAGTTTGATTCCATTGTAATTGGAGAATATACCCTGTGTTTTTTATTATTTTAATATTCTTGAGATTTGTGTTAAGGATCACAATATGATCTACATTCTACTGTCTTTTCAGCTCCTCCCCACCTCCTCACAGCCCCTCCACTGGCACCCTAGGTTTCTGATACCACTAATAATGCAATAATTTTGACAACTTGAGGAAATTACTAGGAGTAAAAGAACTCAAGCTATTCTCTTGGCTATTTATTTATGCCCAATTTTTTGACCTGGATGCTTTGTGGAATCTTCTAGCTCCTTTGACATTGAAATTAAGGGAAAGCCAGATCACAACAATGCAAAGGAACCCAGGTGTCAAATGAATGATAGCGACTTTTGAAAGCCTTTTAAATTTAAGGCACAGGAGAGGTAAAATGTAAAAAGAAAGAATAATCATTTCTTAATTGTGTTGAGCAAATTCCTGCAAAATATTTTCTTCTTTTTTTTGGATCTTTTGTTTATTTTAATTTCTAACTTTTCATGAGTAACTCTTTGTTTTTCCTCTTGGTTAAGAAGTTTATAATTTAAGGAGAATATTCTTAAGGTTTCCAACATGTAAATCTAACTAATTTATATTTTATAATCTCATTGATAATATATTGGGGGCTTCATGAATGTTTTTATGATTCCTCTGTGTAATTTTTTACTAAAAGACTTAATCCTCTAACTCTCAAAATCCTTGAAACTCTATATAATCATAGATCACCCTTCATCATCTCCTCATTCTAATTTATTTAACTACTGAAGTTTTAACAGAGTACCTTAAGAATTAAGAATATGCTATTATATAAAACAACAAATTAACATCAACATTCTGAAATGAGGCATCAAAAATATCTACCTGATTAGGTTATTATATTAAAACTGATTTTCATTTGGAATATAGTCTAGTCTCAGATAAAGCAATTATCTACCAGGTTTTCTCTCATTATAACAGCTTATTAATTCCTTAAAAATAAATGTTTCCAAGTAAAACAGGAATAGCAAACAGATACATCTTAAAGCAAATGAGTTAGAGGGGAAAATTAGGTGTCACTTATGGAAAAACAATTCCACCAGCATTTTGATTTACATACAACTTTTCAAGAATTTATCTCTTTTGAGCCAAATGAAAACAAACTCCAAGGGTTCTCAAAAAGATAAATTCTATTCAATAAAATGCGTTTGAGTCAGGAATTCCTGCTTAGGCTAAACCTGCCATTTCCTTCCTTTGTTAAGGGGTCAAGACTCAGACAAAAAGCACCTAACTTACTCAGACTAAGGTGATCCAGCCTGGCCCAGCTTTCAAACTCTGTCACCTACTTCTCCCTTCCCTTCCCTACTCCACCCCACTAAGCAAGGGATCCCTGACAGGTGCTCAGAGAGAGCTCTGCTACTCCGGTGCAGTAATGGGCCCAAGCCCATCACACCGGAAACACAGGGCAGCAGAATTCTGGCCCCAATCACAGGGGAGCCAATGAACATGAAAGCCCACATAGGTTGCGCTGCCCCAGGGAGTTTCCGGATACCAAGAAAACTGGACAAAGAGGACAAAGTCATGGGTATCTGCGTCAATGTGACCTGATCATGCAGCCAGATAATAATTGACTAGAAACCCAGAATCTGGGACCTGTTACCTCCCTCCCCAGCACCAAGACACAAAGATTGCTACAGCTGGCTCCTTCTGATCACATTTAGTCACATGAATTCACAGAAAGAGCTCCGACATTCACCTTGGCTAATAAGTTTTCACTCATCTCCTACAAAAGCCAAAGAAACTTTGCTGGCTAAAATCATGATCCAGGAATTAACTAATCGGAGATGCGGCCTCTTTGTAGTCGGCTCACCAGCTTTTAGGTTGGTCTGCATTTCTACTTAACCTATGTATGTCCTCATTGTTTTCTGTCTATAAAATATGTACTTCGGCCTTGGAATTTTGTGAGTTAATGACTCAGTGTGGCTTTGGCCATGGGTTTAATCTGAAAACTGCTCATGCTTAGGAACAAAATGATTCCAGGTATTTGTCTGCTGTGGTATTGCTGGAACACCCTGTACTTTTGCTTAGAGAAACTGGCTGGTGCTAAGAACGGAGTAGCTACTCTCATCTTCCTGCTGAAGTGGGTACTATTTAGGAGAAAAGGGAACTGATTCTCTTCTCAATTTTCAACCCGAAAAAAAAAGCGGGGCGGGGGGGGTGGGTGGGTGGGTGGGTGGAATTTCTTAGGGATTCAAGGCTCTCAAGTATTACAATCCGTACTAATGAGCGTGTGACACTCTCAGGGACCATGCGATGAACATGTTTTAACGAAGTAAAACTAAACCAGCACCGGACATTTGCTGCTTGCACCAAGGAAAGCCTACAGCAATTCTTTTTTGAACCTTCAAAATGCAAAACTGGTGTATTAGATTAGCCTGGAAAAACAGACTTTTACCAATGATGGTTTTGAGTAATTTAAGTGCCTGCCCTTCTGGGCTGGCTCCCTGCGGACTAGGTTAAAGAGAGATGGTATCAAAATAATCACAAGTTAGAGGAGTGACCAGACACAAGTGAAATGAAGGTTTGTTAAGACACATATGCAGCAGAAAGAAGGAAGAAACAAACTGGGGAGGGATGATATATTGAGGGCAAGTAGTCTTTCTAAATCCAAACCTGATGGCGATGCTTCCCACTGCCTATAAAATAACGCAGTCCTCTTCCATAGCCTGCTCCAAACCACCTCTCCAGTCCCCAGCCTCCCAAATCTCCTTGCTGGGCACCATGCATAAGCTCCCTCAAATGAAGACTTGGTTAGTCTCTTCCTGTCCCTATCACCCCTTTCCCCTCTGAGATCTGTCAGTCTCTTCTATGCATTCATGCCTTTCTTGTCTTGATTGCTTTCTTCACTTGCCCTAATCCACCCTCGTTTTACAATGCCCTTCCCTGGAGAAAGCCCTTTGCCAGGTGCCCTACCTTGCTTTCCATGCCCAAGTCCTGCTGAATTACATACTTTCTCCTTCAAGCACTGCAAGCATTTTTCGACATGGCTTTGATTCTCTATTTGGGCACTAATCTTGTTCCCTTAGTTCAGCTCAATGACCCCTGTGGCCCTGAGCCTGCTATAGTGTCTGACACATTATAGTCACTCAAAAAATGTCTTATGTCCTGGTAACAGTTGTCAAAAGTGAGCCCATAGCCCTAACCGGTTTGGCTTGGTGGATAGAGCGTTGGCCTGCGGACTGAAGGGTCCCAGGTTCGATTCTGGTCATGGGCATGTACCTTGGTTTCGGGCACGTCCCCAGTGGGGGGTGTGCAGGAGGCAGCTAATCGATGTTTTTCTTTCATCGATGTTTCTAACTCTCTATCCCTCTACCTTCCTCTCTGTAAAAAAAAAAAAAAAAAAAAAAAAAATCAATAAAAAATATTTTTTTAAAAAAGTGAGCCCATAAATCCATAAATCTCAATATATCTGAGACACGTAAAGTGATACGGAGTTTCCAGGACTTGATACAGTCAGGATTCACTCAGGTGACCACCATGAAAGTTGAAGCACGTGAGTGGATTAACAGGAAAGGAATTTGTTTTACAAGTTGCAGGAATTTGCCCATGGGTTGCAGAAGTACAACTCTGGTAAGAATATAGTATCATGAAAAACAAAGCAGAAATTCTTTGTATGGGTGGTACAGAGAATGAAAGTGGGGAAATTAATAATAATAACAAACCATTGCATTTGATCCTTTAAATAACTTTTTAAAAAAAACTTCTAAACAGGTGGTCTGAGGAAGAGTAACCACCTGAGAAACTCCATGAAAAAGGGGTTCCATGGTCAAAAATAGGTGAAGGTGCGCCCTAGCCATTTGGCTCAGTGGATAGAGCATTGGCCTGTGGACTGAAGGGTCCCGGGTTTGATTCTGGTCAAGTGCACATGCTTGGATTGTGGGCCCAATCCCCAGAAGGGGGCGTGCAAAGGCAGCCAATGATTCCCTCTCATCATTGATGTTTCTCTTTCTCTCTCCCTCTTTGAAATCAATAAAAATATATTTTAAAAAAATAGGTGAGGGCAACACTGCCTAACAGGGCTTCCTCCTGTGAGAGCCACCCATGCACAGGGCGGTTAGAAAGGCTCCGAGCCTGCTGTAAAGAAATCTTTAACTTCACTGAACCTAGTATTTCTCTTTTTCTTTCTTCACAACACCCATTAAAATTCCTTGCAACTTGCTCTGGCTGTTTGGCTCAGTGGATAGAACGTTGGCCTGTGAACTGAAGGGTCCCAGGTTCGATTCCGGTCAAGGGCATGTGCCTCCGTCAGAAGTGCAGGAAGGCAATTAATTGATGCGTCTCTCTCACACTAATGTTTCTTTCTCTCTCTTTCTCTCCCTGCCCCCCCCCCCCTTTCCATTCTCTAAAAATCAATGGAAAAATATCCTTGGGTGGGGATTAACAACAACAAATCCCTTGTAACTTATACTCTACTGAACACATTTTGGGAAACACTGCTCTGAACAGCTTAGAGCTTTAAGCAGGGTCTATAGGAATTGCTGTTTTCATTTTACCCAGGAGGTAACTAAGACTTCAGGAAATCGACTTGTTTAGAGTCACACAGATTAAAAACAATGAAGTCGTCCATTAGTAAATTCCATGTTTGTCATTTGTTGTTTAATATGTACCAGGCATCATGGTAGGCCTGGGCCGGCAGGTCTACCTTCCAAATGCAGGCCACCTCCCAAATCTCAGGTCATGCCATCTAGACTATTAGAACTAAAAGGGTACATAAGAGACCATTTAGTGCAACCACCTCCTTTTCAGAAGAAAGGGAGTCTGGGAAAAGGTAAACAACACCCCAAGGCTCTAAAAATAAAAAGAGCAGAACTGGAATTCAATGCCAGGGCTTTGTCTCCTGAGTCTCACAGTCACCATTCAGCCTCCAGATTTGCTCACAAAACATAAAACCCGGTATGCTTGGAAATCCTCCCAAGGCCTTTTATTTTCATCTCACCTGGTTCTTGATACAGTTCCAGAGCCAGCAAACACCCAGCTGGGGATGCTGTTGTCTCTGCTTAGAAAGCGTTAAGGGACCTTTCTACTCTTAATTCTTTCTGTGGCGTGTTTAACAAATTGAAGTTATTTCCATGAGAAATCAGACTTTTTCTATGAACTGTAAATGGTACATTTCCAAAATTGAATGTGTATTTTTGCGGTAAATTTTTCAGTTCAATGTCTTGGGTAGCTGAGAATGCTTTTATGCTGAGAATTCGTGTTGGGACATGTACTTTAATGAGCCCTGAGACTCCCTCCAGGGAGGTAGTTCTTTTTTTTTTCTGATCTGATGGGTGATATGGATCCTTTTCCAGAAAACAATGGATGTCAGTATGCAGTGCGGCTTGTCATTTCAGGGATTCTCAGACCCCGCAAAAACTCCTGCTCTGGGATGTGACACTGCAGAGTCATCTATGGTCCTGCGTACTTCAGCTCTTGATTTGGAGGATGCCTGGCTTACATTGGGGAGTTGCAATCATGAAATTAGGAATAGGCTGAAATGCAGGTCCTTGAGCCAGGAGTAATTAAAATGTACCTTAAAGTTTCCCCTAACACAGCTGCGGCTGCAATAATCGTAAACCAATGGTGACTACTACAAAGACAAATCCCTAAAATAGATATTATGACTTAGCTGTGGTTTATTTAATCATTCTTAAATGAATGAAAAGTAGGGTACACTTCCTATCCTCCACTTTTCCAAGATCTACCAAGAGAGAATGTAGGGAGGAATTTAAAGAGAAACAAAAGAAATCTTTTAAAAATATTTAAACATAAAGAGAAACAACAGAAAATTAGTGTAAAATGTGAAAAGATCTGGAAGTCTTCACTAGAGTGAAATTCTGGAATGGCTATGAATCAGGACTGTGGAATCTCCCTTCCCTCTCCGCTGTTTGGATAATTCAAGTTTCTTGTTCCCCAAGAATCAGGTAGATCAACTCGACCTTTTCAGTACTTGGCAGTGCTGGTCTCCATCTTAGCTTTCCTAGTCACCTTTCCAAATGACTCGCAGTGAAGCACCCTTCAACTAGCAGAGAGGGAGGTCGGGGAGCCCGATTTAATCAATGCTTTCCACCAAATTAAGAGTTAAGATGAAGGCCAAGGAAACATACAATCAAAGTCATTCTATGGCTGGAAAGCGGCCCCGTGTGTGTATTATTTACAAAAGTCCTAGAAGAGCGTGCTGTCCCCCACACGGGCACTCCCATTTGGACATTCGAGTTACAGATTTTGTTTCAAACCATCACTATAGCAAATGAGGCTGTGGGGGGACGTGTGCGTTATGAAGAGTCTACTTATGGGCAAATACCTTGTCATGGATTTTATGCCTCTAGGTAGCCAGGGAGGGTGCAACCTGAGCCACTATTGAATGAGAAGGGAAGTAGCATTTTCTTTGCTTCAGTCTATAAGAGGGGGGTAGGGGGGCGGCGAGAAAATAATGGGTTGGGGGATTGGTAAGTAAAGACCCACTCAAATCATAGGTTTGGGCATCTCCTTTTAAAATTCCTGACCCAGCCCTGACCGGTTTGGCTCAGTGGATAGAGCGTCGCCCTGCAGACTGAAGGGTCCCAGGTTCGATTCCGGTCGGTCCAGGGCATGTACCTTGGTTGTGGGCACATCCCCAGTAGGGGGTATGCAGGAGGCAGCTGATCAATGTTTCTCTCTCATCGATGTTTCTAACTCTCTATCCCTTTCCCTTCCTCTCTTTAAAAACAAAAACAAAAAACAAAAAAATATGTTTTAAAATTCCTGACCCAGGTGTCCAGCTGAAGCTCCGGAGGACAGGAGCTGACCCAGTAGGAACCTCCACCGATTTCCTTCCAAGTCTTAGCAAGCTAATAGTCAAGGCCTCATAGCCAAATGCCGGGTGCGGCAAAAGTAGGTTTGCAGTTGTGAGGACATGAAACACAGACTTTATTCTTGTATTACTACTTATTAATTACTGAATACTTTTCCATACAAGCAACTGTAATCCTACTTTTGCCCCACCCCGCCCTGTATTGAAGGCAGATTCTTACAGTCAGTACATACCTGCGGCAGTTTTACATCATTGATATCCCAGCTTAATATCTCTTTGTCCTCAGAATCCAAATCCTCGGGTTCCATGGTAAAGTCAGGTCAGCCACCAATTTCCGTGTATTTAGCTCCCTTTAGCAGTGCTTCAGGATTTTGCTCGTAATTATAGTTGGATCAGTCCACTCAAGCAGCTTAGACCAAGAGACTATTTTCTGATGCTAAAAAAATAAATGATAATAATACTGACCATTAAAGAGATACAAATCAGTGCTTGTCTAACTGAAAAACCTGTTTTATTGACATTTTTGCAATCACCAACATACAGCTAGAAATAAAAGGTAGAAGCCGTTAAGAGATCTTGCTGAAAGAAAGCTTGGCCAGTGGGAATCAGAGTGTGATGATCATGCACTAACCCCTCGGTCCTTGCTAGTCCCAGCTTGCGAAGGTTCTAGCAGGAATGGCTGTCACCTGTAGCCAATGGTTAGGGTCTTTTCCTCCAAATGTATGCCCGTGTTTGAGGGGGAGAGCTGGCTTGGAGCTGTCTCCACGGAAATGCCTTCACAAATGAGCTCCTATGTGGATGAAATTCTAGGAGGGGAACATCATGACCAGTCGTGTCTCTATAGTATTTTTTTTTAAATATATTTTATTGATTTTTCACAGAGAGGAAGGGAGAGGGATAGAGAGTTAGAAACATCGATGGGAGAGAAACATCGATCAGCTGCCTCCTGCACACCCCCTACTGGGGATGTGCCCGCAACCAAGGTACATGCCCTTGGCCGGAATCGAACCTGGGACCTTTCAGTCCGCAGGCTGACGCTCTATCCACTGAGCCAAACCGGTTAGGGCTCTATAGTATTTTTTAAAGCTAAATTGCTACAGAGGTTAATGTTGGTCTCCTCGATAAATCCAGTGTGCACTTTGTATCTTCAAATATGATCAAATGACACGCTCGTATGCGATTCCTCTAAAACCTTGGTGTTGCTGACGTTTTGGACCGGATCATTCTTTGTTGTGCGGGCTTATCTCGTGCACTGTAGGCTGTTTGGCAGCATCCTTAGTCTCTGCCCATTAGGTGCTAGTAGCAAACCACCCTTCTTTGTTGTGACAACAAAAAAACGTCTAGCGACATTGCCCAACGTGCCCCGGGGGGACTGTATGAGAACTGCTCTAACATCATGTTTCTTATCATTTCACTTGAAGCAGTCTGCAGGACTTGGTGACTTCATCTTCAGCCATCTCACTCTTTCCTGTTGCCCACAAGGAAATTCTGTCTCACCTTACTGTGATTAAATTGTTTTATGTGGCCGAAACCGGTTTGGCTCGGTGGCTAGAGCGTCGGCCTGCGGACTGAGAGGTCCCAGGTTTGATTCCGGTCAAGGGCATGTACCCGGGTTGCGGGCACATCCCCAGTGGGAGATGTGCAGGAGGCAGCTGATGGATGTTTCTAACCCTCTATCTCTCTCCCTTCCTCTCTGTAAAATATCAATAAAAATATATTTTTTTAAAAAATTGTTTTATGTAAGCAATCGATATTCAAAAATTTTTGGTGCAAACTGCATTTCTTTCCCATGAAGAATACTGCTCTAGTTTCTAATAATAATCCGTTAAAGGAGATTTACAAATTAAGAAAAAAACGTTATTTCGAAGTGTTCTACTGAGGAAAAACGAATCACTTTGCAGGTGAAATGTGCTTGTTAGTAGAATAAGAAGTGAAACGCGTTTGCATGTACAGTTGACCCTTGAACAATGTGAGGTTAGGGGTGCCAATACCGCACGTAGTCGGAAATCTGAGTACAACTTAAGTCAGCCCTCTGCGTGCACAAAGCCCCAACCATAGATCTATATCATTATCATTTGCTGGTGTTCTTGTAAAAACAAGGGACATGATGGTGTTATGTAGAACTCTTCAACAGCAAACTCAAACCACAAGCTGATTAATGGTCCCATGAGCTTTGTCCCTTAGTTATGTGACTTTATATAACCCTAACACTTGTCAATCACGGACAAGTATCCAAGTGTATGGATAGAGAAGACTGTTGACCTGAATGTATAAATGAAGTCTGGCCATTAAATAACAAGCTAAACAGAATCGAAGAGACCTCCCGACCCTGTCTACCCACACTCGCCCATCACTTAGTGTTCACAGACTCAGAGCATGAAGTCCCCACTTCCCATGTCAAACGCTGGCATGCAAAATGAAATCCCCGTGAGTTTCAAATAAAATTCTACGTTTGGAAAATAAACACTGAGTTAATTAAGAAATGATGCCACAGATTGACTTTCATTTAGAAGACTTTAGTAACAAGTATATTAGACACAAATACCAAGTGAAAATGTGATAGTGGCAGATTTATGTACTTACCTCTTTGAATGTTAACAACAGTGATTCAAGTGGTCTAAAATTTGTTATCGCTAATTGGGATAGATTGAACTTTTTTTCTAAAAAACAAAACAAATGAATAACAAGATTCACATTTCCCGAAATGAAAAACACTGTTTTAAGCCTGATTAATGTAGACACACGTCTTTTGTTTTTAAATTAAGGAGCGGGGAATCAAATATCTTGCTACAGAATAACTAGATTGTTTTTTAATTTTTTTCTGATATAAATTTTTGCCAAATAAATGAACATTCATTTAATATTTCACTGAAGGATAGGAGCAAATCATAGAAAAGAAGAAGACTGTTTGCCGCCCTTAAGACATAAACAAACTGAGCTTTTCTCCAGGATTAAAAAGTCTAAGTTTGTCAAGACTTTCTCTTTTTAAAGCAACTCGGGCCAAAGTGTATTCAATTTTCATCATTTCTACCAAAAAACCAACTAGAAAAATAGAACCCTGTAAGAATGAGGTGGTCATTACCGCATCCCTTGTTTGCATTTTCTTGGGATTTCTGGCTTCCTTACCTTTCGACTTCGTATGGAGATGCAGACAATACTGTATTATAAAAATCTCATCCCTGGTTCAGGTCCCAGCAGGCTCTGGTCATTTTCTAGGCAGAAGCTGCTGTTCCCTAACCCAGGTCAAGGTACACTATGCTAATGAGCTCTGGCAATAGTCCAATCAAAATCTAGATGCTCCCAGCTCAGGGTAGGTAAGAGCAAGCAGGGAGCCACTTAACCAGCTCAATTCTCTGCAGAATGCCAGCAATGTGATGAATATTTTATGATGTGCCTCTGAACTTTCCCCTCCTTCATAGTAAGAGGGCCCTGTAACGAAAATGCATATGAGAACCCCTAGAGGAAGCACAGATGTTTTCCTCTAGTAATGTCATAGGTTGGGCTCCAGGCAGAATTGACAGTAAATTCTAATTCTCCCACCATTGAACCCTGTGTGTGTGTGTGTGTGTGTGTGTGTGTGTGTGAGAGAGAGAGAGAGAGAGAGAGAGAGAGAGAGAGAGCAGACATTGCACTGAGGGAATTTATTGGAATAGATTTGGGTAGCCAACAGCTCCTAAACCAGAAACACCAAAATGCTAACCGAACCACTAACAATGATGCCCCAATAATTCCGAGTGTTCCAATCTCCCAAAATAACATAATTCTCCTTTCTAGACATGTCCTCAGCAGTCTGGGCAACAGCCCAAAATCAGTTGCGTTCATCTGCTATGTTCCAGGCAGTCTGCTAGGCGCTGGAGGTACAGGGAGAATTACAGCTGGTAAAAAGCTCAGTCTACCAGGTGGGCGCTGGAAGTGTCAGGGGAACACTTTGTAAAGTATGACTGTTTAATCACTGTGCTGTACACCTGAAATAATAATATAATATTGAATGTAAACTATAATTGAAAAAAAATTTTTTTAAAATATATTTTATTGATTTTCCACAGAGAGGAAGGGAGAGAGATAGAGAGTTAGAAACATCGATGAGAGAGAAACATCGATCAGCCGCCTCCTGCACACCCCCCACTGGGGACGTGCCCGCAACCCAGGTACATGCCCTTGACCGGAATCGAACCTGGGACCTTTCAGTCCGCAGGCCGACACTCTATCCACTGAGCCAAACCGGTTTCGGCGAAAAAAAAAAAAAAATTTAAATAAAAAAGTTCAGTCTAGGGGAAAAGATGAAAAAAGACACGAAATGAGCACCAAGGTAACTTGATGCACAGAATAGAGGCAGCCTAGAAGGGGTAATAGGAGGAGAAATTATTAATCTGGAGAGAAGAGAATCGGGGGAAACTTGTTTTACAAAAATGATGCCTGATCAGCCCTTTAAAAGACAAACAGATCTTTGGGCATCGAGAAATGGAAAAGGCTGCTCCGGGTTGTGGCAATGTCATGGGAAAAGGTGGAGAGGTATGAAAAGTGTGGCGTGCACTGCATCACGAGAAGTCAGTACCTGCCAGGAAGGGGCAAGCCGTCAGAGGCAGGCTGCGAAGGAAGGAATGAGCCGGCCAGAAGGCAAAATGCTTGGGAGGCTTCGCAGGTTGTCGGGCAGACCCGGAGTGACCTTTGGCAATGCCGACAAGATTTTCCACCCACCGTTCAGTCCATAAGTGAACTTTACCTTGAGCCATCTCACTCTTTCCTGTCCCCCACAAGAAAATTCTCACTTCACTTTGATTAAAGGGTAGTATGTAAACAATAGATCGTCAAACATGTTTGTGCAAACTGCATTTCCTCCCCTATGAGACATACTGCTCTAGTTTCTCAGTACCAGTGGTTAAAGGAGATTTGCCAATTAAGGTAGAAATGAGTTCAAAGTGTTCTACTGAGGAAAAGCGAGCCATTTTGCAGATGAAATGTGCTTGTTAGTAGAACACGCAGTGAAGCATGTTTCCCTGGAGTCTAAGACCCCACCTGATTTGCCGTGGCTTTCTCTGGCTAATCTGGGTCTGCTCTTTGCAGTCCCTCCCTTGACCGGGATGTTCTTTCTCCATCCCCCGAACATATCTGAGCAGGACCAGGCCTAAAGCTGTGCCAGCTGGCAGAGGAGGAATGTCAACCGTGTCCAGCTCCAGAATCGCAAAGCAGGACAAAGAGTGGATGTGAGAGCCACTGGTACACGTGTCATGATTGCCCACGTGTTTGGGACTTCTCCTTAGAATGTCTTCTTCCCTCCATGTATCTAGGCCCTACCCATCCTTCAGGA